TTTTCCAGCTTCTTTTTCCAAGCCGCCTTTTTCTTTTTTTTTTTTTTTTTTTTTTTTTTTTTTTTGTTTTCAGACTGTCAGAAGAAATAAGAAAGTATCGATAGACGTACTAATGCCGTGGTCCATAGACATGCGCAGCCGCCGACAATGTAATGCATGATATGTCGGCAGACATACTACAGGACAGTATCTGCACAGCCAGGAACTCGGCTCACCTATTTGTCCACCTGCATGGCCTCGTCCTCGATGCTATCGACCACGTCGAGGTCCATGAGCTCTACCTGCTCCGCCAGTGACGCAACGGAGCCATCAGCGGCCTCACCTTCAGCCACCGCGGAGGACGGCTCGGGCTCGGTCTTGTCGCCCCGCCGCGGATCCCCAAAGTGAACGACCTTCTTATGCTGGACCAGCAACTTGGCCGAGACGAAGCCCCGCCCCGGCTCGCAGAGATCACACTGGTAGTCCAGGATCTCCACGTGGGCCGAGGAATGGTGCCGATAGAAGTCTTCAAAGGTATCGAAGGGACCCTGCCCGCAGATGCCGCCCGTGACGCGGTCCTTCCACTTACAGAGGTACTGGCGCGTGGCCGCTCGAAAGTTAAAGGTATACATGCCGTCGGTGAAGGGGAGGCCGCGCCGCGGGGAGCCGCCGGGGCCCGGGCGCCGCGCGGCCTCCTCGGCCTGCTGCTCCAGCATGGCGAGCGTCGCCCACGGGCGGCCGCAGTGCGGGCACCCGTACGCCAGCGGCTCGCCCCGGTTCGCCGCCCGCACCCGCAGCACGTCGATGCACGTGTGGTGGTACGTGTGCCGGCACGCCCAGCATTCACACAGCGCCCCTTGGTGCTCGCTTCGCCCCGTCTGGCACAGATCGCAGGTGCCGGCGTCACTGCGCACTTCCTCCAGCAGCACTTGGTGCTTCTTCAGCTCTTCGTACTTGGCGTACGCGTGCTTGCGGAGGTCGGTGTGCCATGTGGGAGCCATCGTTGCTAGTGTTTGCCAGTGGTTGGTCGAGGTAAAGGTCACTTGTGAGTTGGTAGTTCGTGTGGGTTGGGTTTGGATTGGATGGGGTGAGGTGGATTTATGTCCTGCGCTTATATACTTGGTACATGGTATTGATGTCGCCAGTGCTCAGGTGAAGCCTTTTCATCCAATGCCACTTGTTACAGAGAATCGCCTCGGAAGTTGTGGAACAGAAAGAGTATGGGCGGCAGGATTAGCCCTAACTTAGGGAAAAGTACCTCCTATTCCTGATCCCGCATTCATCCACCAATAAAGCAAACAAAGCGAAAAGGAGACTGCGTCAAATTTCTCAACCTCGAACTCTAGCAGACGCGACTCTCCGCTTCTTTTCTCCAAGATACATGGAGTTAGGGCTGGAGCGGGAGGAAATTCTCCTACATTTCACCTAAAGAAGCCTACCCCACTCATTGGAATGCCCATACACACGACGAAAGAGCCGCTTACGTCGACGAATACAACTCCCCCTCCCACTGCGGCCACGACACCTCTGCCCCGCCCAGCCCCATGTCGAAAAGCTCCAGCCCGATGAACCCGGGATACGCCAGCGCCAGAACATCATCCGAGAACAACCTGTCGTCGAGAAGCGGTTGCGCCAAGTCGGCGTCCTCCTTCTCCTCTCCTCCCCCTCTCCTGGCGGTGATTGACGCCAGCACTCGCGAATGCGGTCGCAATTTGGCGAACCGCGCAAACACAATATCGCCCAGCATATATGCGGCGTGGCTTGTTGGAAGCCCAATCGACCGCAGCCAGTCGACGAGCTGCACCACCAGACCATCCAAAGCGTCCAGATCGTGGCCCGTGGCGCGCAGGTTCTCCTCGTAGGTGTGCACAAGGCGACAGAGGGTGAGCGCTGCGAATGTGACGAGGTGGTAGATCTGATCCGTCAGGTGGCGGGTTCGGTCGTCCGTGGTGTCGATCGCGAGGTCGATGATGTTCTTCGCGTGGGACAGCATTCCGGCGACGAGGGATGCGCTGCTGCTGCTGCTGCTGCTGGCCATGTTGTCTAATGACTCTTGAGATGAGGATTTCAGGCGGTTGCTGTAGGCGAGGAGGTGCGCGAAGTGAAAGCCCATGCGCAGAAACTGGGAGCGAGGTTGCGCTGGAAGCATGGTCAGGAGCCGCAGGAGCGAGTAAACAAGGGGAAGGACAGCAGATACCAAACAGTACGAGGAACTCTTGCTGCCAATTCGCTAGAGCGCGTTTCACGGCTTCGAGATCCGGATGCGATCCGCAACACTTGCGATAGATGATCCAGTACAGCTTGACCTCGGCGATCATTCGCGCTTCGTAGTTGGTGATGCTGTCCATTTGCATCAATCGTGCGCAGCGTTGGATGTCGACGTCGGTCAATTGAGCCTGGCGGCGGGTCCCTACGCAGTATCTGAGAGATACGTCAGTAAGGTAGGATTGTGAAAGCGACAAGGGGAAGGACGTGCTGTAAGTGAGCCAGGCATAGGTGGTTCCAAAGACACCATGCATCGACATGTTTCTGTACGGTCGGAAGAGCTGCGTCGGGTCGCATGACTTCCACTAAGTCCGGGCTGATCAATGCCTGCTGCAAAGCATAGCCGGTCAAAAGCCAGCTGTCAACACTCAGCGGCACTTGGCCGATGGTCGTCGACCACAGGCTCAGAATCAGAACCGCCTGGAAGAATGGCGTCGTCTGTGGGACCATGAGTAAGGAGGAGGTGACAAGGCGTTTTGCTTCTCGGAACAACTGAGGCGCGAGTCTGTCCGCAAGGTCTGGTGTGGTGTGTCTGACTGCAATTAACAATACACTGCATGTAAGAAGCGACGACCCTCCGATTCGCGAGAGAAGGGCCGGTGTTGAGAGATCCTCTGGAAACTTCACCCATCTGCCGTAGTGGGTATGGAATCTGGGGGCTTAGTGTAAGCTAGCGGTGCCAGTTGAGGTATGATTGGGGACGCACACTCACAGTTCGACCAATGAGTGGGCGATAGACGATGAAACCAGCCCTGAAGATATCGGGTCGGCATACACTTCAGGACGAGCGTCGTTCTGCTCCGGTGAGCGTACGCCAGCGTCTAAGGCAGCCTCCCTGATGAGGAGCACAGGAGCTGGTTCATGCTCAATGATACCTTGTTCTGTCCTCCTCGGAGGGGTTTCCTCGTTGAACCGGCTAGCTAGGGCATCGATCTTGGCATCCAGACGGTCAACCAAACTCTCTACCGTTCTTTCCAGTCTGGCGATTCTGTGCTTATGGCTGTTAGCTCAGGACTATTCTCAATATCAGAAAAACAACATCTGCAGGAAGAGATAGCACCTCTCATCCACCGCACTCCGCTGATTAACCTCGGAAGCGACGGTGCTTGTGTTCTGAGTATGTTCCGACCGGCAATGAGTTGACGGGCTCGACCTGCAATTAGGGCTCGTCTGCTCGGGATCCAGCGAGCAAGGCTGCGTTAGCGTCGCGCAGCGAAGACAGCCGCTGCCGGGACCTTGCGATGGATAGCATCGTGTTTTGTTCTTGCGGCACGACGTACACGCCTTCGAGGCCCTAGCTGACCGTACAGGAGGCATGGTTCGACCAAGTTTGAAGACAGTGCGGTCGTCAGGGGCATAAGGTAACTTACACTGGAAAAGCTGATGGAGTGCTTATCTTATCGGGGAGTGGGCCAATGGCGAACTTTAGTGTAGAATGGGGTGATATCAGGTCCACGAATGTGGTTTAGCGGCATTGATAAGGTACGCGAAGTTACCTTGCAACTGTATCCGTACCTTGGCAGTTGTAGCATATCTTGTGCACTTCACTATGGCTTCGAGGGGTTAACCAGCACAAAGAGCCGCAAGTGAGTCTAGCCAGCTAGCTCTACAAAAAAATGTAAATCACTACATAGATCAAGTGCCAAGCCATGACTAATTGTCTAGTATTCCAACATCTGATTGCCGGATAACTACATCCCCAGTTGTCCGCTCTGTGTCACTTTTCTCATGGTTGATCCTCCTTTCGACTTGCATCGTAAAACCCCGCCTGCTCTCTTTCAGCTAGATGATCTTCCTGATCGAACACGCGGTAGAGCACTTTCCAAACCAAAATGATGACGGCGGCTCCAATGGCACAAGAGGCGGCAATGATAAGCCCACGGGTATACCGCGGTGCATCTTTTGGTTTTGTTAGCCTTGATCAACCATAAAAGAGCCACAAACGAGTAACTACATCATACCTTGTGTTCGAAACAACTGATTGCCTGGCAGATTCGCCAGCTGAATACTCATGACATACGCCGCCAGCGCCACTGGCCGCTTCCGCTCCGGCATCTTCGTCGTCAGCCAGGCGGCGCTGATCGCTTGGGCGCAGCCCATCCCCATCTGGGTCCACACGACTCCCCCTGGTACTTGCTATCAGTGTCTATTATAGGTGAAAGAAAAAAAAGTAGGAGGGGGAACAGAAGAAAGTATATCAACAAGAAACAGGAGCACCGCGTGGGAAACACACATACCATAGAGCAACCATTTCCCACTCGAATCCGGCGCCAACGCCAACCACAACAAACCCGCCGCACCCCAGAGGTATCCGACGGCAATGTGGACCCCACGCTCCTGCGACCGGTCGCTGCTAAACGCCAATGTGACGGACAAGAGTAATGCGCCGGCGCTGCCGACAGAGTTGAGGCCGTTGGCTTGCAGACTGGTAAAGCCGAGACTCTTAATGATAGAGGGCGCGTAGGTGTTCATTGGTGAGATCATCAACATCGACAAGAAAGCGGCGGCCAGGTGTCCGTAGAGGCGCCAGTCGGTGAAGGTGCTGCACACGTCAGAGAGTGTGATAGACTGCCGCTGGTGACGCCCTTGTGATCGGTGTGCCTTGGTGCGGTCGCCGTTGAGCACCCGGGTTATCAGGATAGAGGCCTCGCGGGGGGTGAAGATGTTATATGATCGGCGGAAGAAGGTCTTGGAGCGGATGGGGCTGTGTGGGAGGTACAGATACGCCACAATACCGAGAAAGCAGGTAAGGAGGCCCTCTGCTTGTTTGTCAGTTGGATTGTGTGGGAAGTCGATCTCGAACGCAGAACTCACCTATCAAGAAAAGCCACTGCCATCCCTGAAGCCCGTGTCGACCGCCTAGGGAGAGAAGTCCGATGGACAGAGGGCCACCAAGAATGCCAGCAAAACTATTTGAGGCCCAGAATATCGCGTATCGCAGCGCAAGCTCCTGGTGGGTATAGTACTGGGAGATGTAGAGGGCGAACCCGGGGATATACCCGCCTTCGAGGGCTCCGATGAAGAATCGGGCGGCGATCAGCCCCGACGCACTCTTGATGAAGATCTGGGACCATGTGGCGACGCCCCAGACGAACATGTTAATAGGCAAGAATCTTTCGGGGCCTATGTATCGACTGATTACGTTGAAAGGCAACTCGGTAATGATGAAGCCCACGGTGAACAGGGTCTGGGCCATATTGATCGCCGAGTTGCTCACATGAATATCAGCCCGCAGCGTATCTGTCAAAGCATTTCCGATGTTTGTGCGGTCGAACTGCAAAAAGCAGAAGCAGACCACGATGAAAGGTAGAATGCACAAGTCGACCTTCATCTTGGCCTTGCGGGTCTCACCAGCTGTGGGTTGGAGGTCCGGGTCATACCCCGGGATGTTGATAAGGTCATCGATGTGTCCGTCTGGCTCAGGCACTACCGACATTGACTTGGTTGAAGCAGTCATATTGGCGTTGTATATCAGGTGGGAGATAGCAAGGCTTCCCAACATGCTTCGGATGAAATCCCTCCATTTTTATCCTTTACTGGTTGTCCAGCACTGATTCGATACCTGCACCGGATAGGTTGGTAGATGAGGTGATAAAGCCATGTTCTGATATCAGAATAAGTGTCACTGTAGCAGAAGTGCGGAGGGATCCGATGCCGGCGGGATGCCGCCGGCAAGCCGCCGGCCCGCGGCATCTCGTTTGCACAGGCACATAACAGAGTCAACCCCTGCCACTTTCATTTAAGACGTCGAATTTTATTTTTTTCGGCCTTGGCTGGTGTATACCACTGCTTTTATCAAGATACTTTCACAGCCTCATCCTTTCTTTCCCTGCAATGGAGCAAAACACCCTGAAGAGACGAGGCGTTGGTCTCATTGGAGTCGACAAGCAACGATCCTTCGGAGGTTACACACTCTTCTGCCCTCTCACCAGCGACCGAGCGCACCTCATCGACATTGATGGCAGAGAAGTACACACCTGGAAGCTCCCTGGTCGAATCGGCCGACACGCGCGAATCCTCGCCAACGGCAACCTGGCCGTTAACACGCTTCGCCCCTCCCCAAACCAGACCACACACGACGGCGGGCCATTCCCCTTCCCCTTCTTCAACAAGTACGGCGGGGGCATCATGAGCGAGCTCGACGCCGAGGGCACCATCGTGCGCCAATTCATCGACCCCCTCGCCCACCACGACCAATATCACTACGGCGACGGGCGCCTGCTCTACACGAGCCTGGAACTGCTGTCCGCCACACAAGCGGCACAGGTGCTCGGCGGCGTTCCCGGCAGCGAGATCGACGGCCGCACGTACGCGGACACAATCAACGAAGTCGACGCGACGGGCCAGCTCGTGTGGCAATGGAAGGTCTCGGAGCACCTGCTGCCCCGCGCGGCGGATTTCTCCCTGCAACCGCACTACACCCGCGAGCACTACCCGCTCATCAACTCCGTCCTGCCCCTGCGCGACGGGCGGCACATTCTGGCCTCGCTGCGCTCCGTGTCCGCGGTGATCATCATCGACAAGGCCACCGGCGCCATCGTCTGGCACCTGGGCTCCGAGACCCTGGCGCAGCAGCACAACGCCACCGAGCTGGACAACGGCAACATCCTCATCTTCGACAACGGGGCCTTCCGCACCGGCGAGTCGATCACCTACTCCCGCGCCATCGAGGTCGACCGTGCCACGAAGCAGATCGTCTGGGAGTACCGCGATCGCTCGCAGCCCATCGCCTTCTTCACGCCGTTCATGGGCAGTGCCCAGCGGTTGGGGAACGGGAACACGCTGCTGTGCGAGAGTGCCTTTGGGCGGCTATTTGAGGTCACGCGCGAGGGCGAGATCTGCTGGGAGTATGTTAACCCCCACTTCGCGCCGTATCCCGATGAGGTGACGGCGCGGTTGTTTCCGGGGGAGTCTAATGCCTTGTTCCGGGCGTATCGGTACGGCTTGGAGGAGATTCCGTGGTTGAGGGCGAAGCTTGAGGGAAGCTTAGATAGCGGCGACTGGAAAGGGGAACCATAAACAGCGAACCGGAGCCTTGTTTTATACCATTGCCATCTGTTTGCCTAGGCGATTTAATGATAGCCAAAAAAGAAAAAAAGAAAGGGAAGTATAACATCAATTCATACCAACCCCAAACAGAAATGTCATTGATCAATGAATGATAGTCATGCCTTTACCCTGATCATAAACGGCGTTTGTTTCGCCGTTGGCTGTGCTTACAGGGCCTCCTCCATCTATAATTCAGAAGGCATGCGGTCGCTCTGGTTTCTGGAACAAAAAGTTTATTTCTAAGGAAGCCTATAAGAAAACGATGTGTGGAAGAAAGGAGAGGAGCCTTTCTGCGTCACTACATACTCAACACTCGAACAACATGCACATTGGGCGCCAGTAGATGGGATGATTAGGGTTGAGCACCACACGGTCTTTATCCGCAGTGGTACTATTGGTGCTTCCTCTCTTCCAACAGTTCTGTACAATCCTGTCCAGTAACCATAATGCACGTTCAACTTCAGAAGAGCCGGTTGGGTGTGTACCTAGATATGACTGGTGAATGATCGACAGGCAGGCCTATATACAGTATTTCCTCAACGCGGAAGAATCCGATCATGTCCAACATTCCGTGGCACTCTACTTGTCAATCCACAGCCACATCTAACAGTCACTCAGGACCACATCATCAAACAGGATATGCGCGGGGACCTCCTTCCCAGCGTCAATGCAGGAGCCGACGAAGTGCAGGGTCAAATCCCGCGCCGGGGGCTGGATGGATCCAGTCAGTTGGATCCACTCGCCGGCGTGCCAGATCAAGTCGGAGGTGATCGCACCCGCCTCGGGGTCCTCGCCGAGATAAGCGCTCACTTCGCAGTGACCCGTGCTGGGGATGGGATCGGCCACGCGGACCCAAAGGGTTAGGTCGTGCTCGTTCTCGTCATCGAGCCAGTACAGGTCCTGTGCGACGGAGACTTGGGGTAACTTGGCTGTGCCAGTGACATCGCTGAGGGTCATGAAGTGTTAGAATTGAATAGAACGAACTTCAGGGGTGGGAGTGAGGGATTGTTACAGGTAGTAGTTTCCGGCGTGTGCGATAGTGCCCTGCACGATGTTGGCGACGTTACCGGTGGAGGCGTACCATCCATCGAGAGCGCCGGTCTCAAAGCTCGGGTTGTTGATGACGTTGCAAGGCATTGTGTCTGCGTTGAGATTGTTTGAGAGGTCTGTTGGGTACTTGTTCTGCTGTTGAGGCTTGAGTTGATGGTGGTTAAATTGGGGGGGGG